CCGCGGTCCCGCGGCCTGTGCCTGTCCCGGTGCCAGTGCCTTGGCCAGTATCCCTGCCACTGCCTGTGCCTGTGCCTGTGCCTGTGCCACTGCCTGTGCCTGTGCCACTACCTGTGCCTGTGCCTGTGCCTGTGCCAGTGCCTGTGCCAGTGCCAGTGCCACTGCCTGTGCCTGTGCCAGTGCTGGTGCCATCACAGCCCCGCCGCTCGGGGGCCACACACTGGTGCCGCCCCCCCGAAGGAGACCGAGGCACACAACTTGGGGACCCTGCCCTGTGCTCGCGGGGTGGTTTGTGCCCCAGCTTGGTGCCACACCAGCATGATCTGGCGTGGGGCTCCCGGAGCTCCTGGGACGTGCGGGATGCCAGGAGGGGACCTGCCACCTGCAGGACCACTGGCAAAGCCTCGCAGGCTCCCAGGGCACAGAACTGGCACTCCAGCTCCTGTTCCTTTTCTCTTGCTCCCCGTTTCCCTTCCCCACGGGCAGCTGCACTCAGCTGGGTTTGCTGCAGTTTTGCCCCGGCCCTAGCAAGGAGCAAGGAAGAGAAAATTAGCCCATGAAGCCCTGTCCTCACTGAGGGACCCTCTTGCTGGCCCCCACCACATCCCACCTGCTCTGGGTTTGTCAGAGCTCTTTGACCCGCAGGGAGAAGCGGGTACAGTTTGGGGGTGCTGTGCCCCCCCAGCCTGGCACGTTGCCCATCTCACCCACTGCAGCTGGAGGGTGCAGCGTGTCCTCAGCCGTGGGTAGAGGTGAGGAGCTGGACCAGGAGCTGGGCGCAAGGAGCATTGCCCGGCTGAGCAGGGCTCCTGTAAGGGCAGTGACCAGGCTCCTATGACAAGGCCAGTGCCAGCTCTGGATGCTGCTGCTGCAGGAGGGGGTCGTGGCTGGGTGCAGCCCCTGGGAGATGGGGCACCAGCATTCAGCTAAGGCTGAAGTTACTGAGAACTGGAGGAGTTTGGAAAGCAAAGGACATGTGCTTGAGGCTTTGCAGAATGACCATTATTCTCTGCTTGCTCCCTCTCAGGTAACTGCTACGATGTCTGCACTGAGCTGCTGCCAGCTGCAACAGCTGGTCTGGCCCAGGGCATCCCAAGGCCATGGTTGCTGAGGCCAGCCGTGCTGGTGTGGAGAGCCAGCAGCCAGGGTAGAGCTGCAGGATGCCAAGGGATGACAGACCTCTCAGCTCCACGCTGCCCCATTCCTCAAGCTGCTTGTGACATCTCGTGTGGGGCTGATGGAGGTTTGATGTACTCATTGGGCACAGGGTTTTCCCCTGAACCCAAAGAGGAATGGAGCACAGCTACAGCATGGAGCAGGTTGCAGGGCTACTGGAGCCAGGCATCAGCTTTGAAGAGGACCCTTCCCTTCCACCAGCCCCTGCCTTCCTCCCCTCTCCCTGTGGTGGCTACTGCAATCAACAGGCCCTGCACTGGGCCTGCTTTGTTAATCTGCTGCTCAGGACCTGGAGCATGGACTGTTGCTGCCTCTGGCTGGGGAAGAGCTGAGCTCTGAGTTAACCCCAGGGGGTGCAGCTGCAGGGCTGGGCACAGCATCTGTCTGGGCCTCTATCCCACTTCCCAGTCCTGGGGCCCCTGCTGCTGGGCACCCTTCTCCTAGGACCCAGCCTAGGCTGCCAGGGCCTTTTCCAAGCCTGCTGTGTCCTATGGGATTACTCCAAATGCCAGCTCAGGACATGGCAGTGTCTCCTAGGCTTCCTCACACTAGGACCCACCACAGAAGGTGTCATCCACCTTTATGTCCCAAAAGTGCTCTGGGAAAAGGACCCCAAGGGTGAATCCCAATGGCAGCAGCTTCCCTCGGGGCATGGGGAGGCTACACTGCTGGCAGCCACCTAGGCCAAGCTGGCAGCCCAGTGGCCTGGGGAAGGAGAGGTGTTCATCCCGGTCCTTTGGGGCCCCCAGTCCTTACCAGGTGGGCAGTGGCAGATGTGCACTCGGTGCTCTCCTGGGAGGCATTTCCAGGGCTGGGGCAGAGGTTGGGGCTGGGTACGCGACGCCCGTAGAAGGCACCGAGGATGCTGATGGTGGTCTTGTGAGGGCAGATGATGAGAAGCTGCTCCCCATCACACGTGTGGGTGGTATGGTTCCTCAGCACCTTGCGCAGGTACCCTGGAAGGGGGTAGCACAGGTGGCATTGGCTGCAGGAGATGCCGGGACCGTGGTGGTGCTTGGGCTCCTGACAGCTAGTGGCAGTGAGGACAACCTGGGCTGAGGAACTCAGGGAGCAGACAGGACCAGAGTGGGGCTGTGGCAGAGAAGGCAGGCTTGCAGCAGATCTTACATCCAGCGCTGCAGCCCAAAGGCTGGAAAGCAGCAGGGCATAGCTGAACTGGTTAGCAAAGGGAGAGCTGGAGGCAGGACAGCTCAGAGAAAACATGTATGGAAGGATCCCATGGGGAATAGTCAAGAGTTTAGAGACAATCAGGCTTGTTAGGGAAACAGAGGGAGGAGAGAGCAAGGATGAGCCAGAGATGATCACTCAGAGCTGATCACCCGAGTCCAGGAAAGGAGGATGCGCTCTGTCACAGGATGCTGAGCCACGAGCTGGAGGAGAGATGGGTCCAGTGGCTGCTGTGAGCTCCTGCAATGGGCTGGGTTGGTACAGATGGGTGTGAGCCACCAGGTCATCATCTGAGCCCGGCTGACCCCAGCTCTCTCTGCTGGAGAAGCCCAGTGAATCTGCAAGCCATGCCCAGCCCACAGGTTTTCTGAAGGGCACTCACCTCTCTCTCTCTCTGAATTCCTAGTGGGAGGTATTTCTTGCTTTTAATCCTGACTAGTCTGTGTCCCACACCACTTACCCGGTTGCTTTCCTTACAGGGAAAAGGGGCCACGGTACTACGGTGAGGTGGGGCTATCCTGCCCAGCCTTCAAGAGCATTTAACATGAAGCTATCAGCTCTGGCTGGTATCAGCTTTGCTGGGTGCTGGGTGAGCGAGGAAGCTGTTTTAACAAAAGCCCTGCAGCTGCCAGGAGTGCTCTGAGCAGGCACTGGTTGCTGGAGGAGGCTGAAGAAAGCAGGAAAAGCTGACAAAAAATGATGTATAGGGCCATGGACAGAGGAGTTTGCATCAGGCCTTTGAATAAAACAAAAGCAAAAGGGAAGCATCATTTTGAGGCTGAGAGGTGGGGACAGGGCAACCCGGTACCTGCCAGGCAGGACACTGGTCTACTGGGTGGGTCACAGACCCCCCCATCCCCAGCTGTGGGGTCCTTGGAGGGACTTGCACCACAGCCCCAGGCCAGTGCTGTGGTCAGGACACTCACTCTGTCCCCAGCCTGCAGCATGTCAAACTCCTCCAAACCAATACAAGAGGCGAGGAGCGCCGGCTCACAGCCCCATGCTTCTCCTTCTGCCTCTCTGAAAACCGGTGCCAGGCTCAGCTGCACAAAGGGCCCTTTTCACCTTCTCTGCTGCCACTAACCCTTTGGCATCTGTGGCCAGCATCCCAAATCCTGGGGACGGTGGGGGGCGTACAGGAGGAACAGGCAGAGAAATGGCTTTCCCCAAATCCAGCCTCCTTATGCCAGACACCCTCCTCTGCTGCTGTGCCAGCTGGCAGCACCGGTGGTTTAGCATGAGGCTCAAGCCGTGCCGCGGGGACGGAGGTTTCTCCATCACACCGCTGTGGGGCAGTGAGCAATTGCAAAGGCGTTGGGTTTCCCCGGGGGTGAAGCCACGGCAAGGAGGCTGCGGGCACGGCCCCCCGCCGGCGCCGCTGCCCCAGTGCCCGGTGGCGCGGCTGTGCAGGGAGCTCTAACCGGATGAAATCACATCCTCCCCGCTGCAGCCCGCCCTGCTGCACCGCTGGCAGCGTCCCAGCCTCTTGTGCCGCCCGGGCCCGGCAGAGTGCAGGGGAAGGTGTGTGTGGCTGCTTCTAGCAGGTCCTCAGAGGAACGGCAGCCCCCAGGCACCCAGCCTGCCCGCACCCATCCTGAGTGCCCATGTGCTGGGGAACAAGGAACCCCAAATTTCTGCGTTGGCCACGTCTGTAAGGCTCACCAGCACAGCTCTCTGTGCTGTGTCTTGTGGCCAGGGCCCCCTGC